GCGTTGCGAAAGGCAATCATTTGACCATCGCAATGCGAAATGCAAATCGCAACGATAGAATCGCAATGCGAAATGAAAAAGGCAACGAGGATTAACATGTATAAACTTTTAACAATTATTGAATTCTAGGTATTTAACCAAACATTTTCAAACCAAAAGGAGTATATATGTTAACAAAACTTGCATTATGTGTGCACTTTTAACATTTTCAGTTAGGCATGTATTAGTAACTTGAGTTTGAACATTGCTATGATCTGTTCAGATGTTATCACTTATTAGACATTCATTTGACTATCGCAACGCGAAAATGGCTATCGCAACGAGAAAATCGCAATGCGAAATGAAAATCGCATTGCGATTTTCTCGTTGCGATTTTCATTTCGCATTGCGATTTTCTCGTTGCGATAGCCATTTTGCGTTGCGATAGTATGTTTTTCCTTCAATATAAAGCAGATTGAAAATCAACAAATCAACTATTACATTTCAACACAAATTATGTACACATCAATTAAACAAATCAACATTTACAAATCATCTTTTACAAATCAAGTAAACAATCAAAAAATAATAATAATTCTTATTTCTTCATCAATTATTGAATCAATGAATCAATAACTTTGTGACCCAGTACATCCATTTCACGCAGCTCACTTAAGGATTAACCTGTATAAACCAAACATTTGCTCAAACAAGACTTCCTACACATCTAAAACCTACAAACAACAAATTATTGAATTCTAGGTACTTAACCAAACATTTTCAAACCAAAAGGAGTATATATGTTAACAAAACTTGCATTTGACTTACCAATTAACAATGGACACTTTCATAACGCGGATGCATGTAGGCAACGTCTCGAATATATTGCTCTAGCCATATAATGCCGAAACCACAAGCCTACTGCAGCTCTATCTCTATCGGTGGGAGGTAAAAACACTGTGCTTCCCGTCGTCAAACGCGCCAAGCAAAGGCATACGAGAGGACCACAATCCCCTCTGGCTCCCGGCGATTGCTGTGGCGCAGTCTCGTCTCTGAAAACTGTGACATTGAACTTCTTTGGCTTCTTGTGTCTAGAATGACTCCAATACTTAATCCCATCCAAGAATTTAGCCAAATGAGAGCTCCATCCCTTGAAAATATCTCTCAAATCAGACAGTGATATGTAATTGATCATGCTGTCATACACTATTATCTTCAGGGATGGGAGCTGAAGTTGGACGAGAAGCCAATGACGACGTTCCAAAACAGGGATAAACACCTGCGATCATAAGTAATAATTCATTTATTTGCGCACTTATTTATGAACACCTTTAAAAAATTTAAAAAATAAACACTAACCTTATCGACCTCCCACCATGGAGGATAAAGTTTAGCTTGTCCATTGCCCAACAAAAATGATTCATCTCGTTGATTCTTCAAGTGAACTGCGTGAAAAGCCGTCGGCATTATTGTATATAGCGAATTTTTTTTATTTTCCTAAGCTTCCTTATTATTAGTAGACGTGACACCCACGCATCGATATGCTGTTTTACAAAAAATACATATATTAGTGAATTACATTAATTTTAAACAAATTAATCAAAATCATATATAAGACAAATATAAGACTTACCTCCCCATCCAAATAGCCACTGTCTTCAACCCCTAATAGCACACCCCACCAAGACCGATCAAGCAACAAAAACATTTCATCGTTGAGGTTGCTGATGTCAGTGTAACACCCTTGGCTCCGCTCATGTAGATAAAAATCAACTGCGGTCTTAGCCCAAAGGGTATTATCCACAATTGTTTCCGGTAGTTTTCTCCTCTCCACTTCAGATACCGGAAGGGTACTAGCCGGTAACTCATACAAGAGCCAACTCTCATCCATCATGTCCGGAACCGGTGGGGGTTTCTCAATACTTCGATATATTACCCCATGTGAATCGGGCTCTGGAATGGTGGGAGGGACCTCTTCAACGATGACAGTGGCCTCTTGAACGGTGGGGGGGAATCTTGAGGGAGAATAGGGGCCTCTTGAACGATTGGAGGGGACTCTTGAGGGATGACCGGTGAGTCGGGCTTCTTCTTGCGGAGTCTTCGCACCATTGGGGTGAACGGAGACGTAATAGCATGCCCACGCCGTCTGATGCGTGAACTCCGTCGTGCAAGGAAAACCCGACGTAAAGCATCCACCTTATCGGGCCGCTAAAAAAAATTAATACATAAATCAGTAAATAAACAGACATGATATTAAACAAAGACAAATATGTTTCAAACTAGCAGTATTGGCAAATATTAAATTTACCTCGTTGCGTAGAGTATGAACCTCATTCTGCAACGATGCTACCATCTCACGTAGAGCGGCTACCTCACCGCGTAATGTAGACACCTCAACACGCCATGCACCATCGTCTTTGCGTAAAGTACCGACCTCCTCACGCAAGGCATTGACCTCATCACGTAACTCCCCTAACTCATCCCGTTGAGGTGGAGGTGGAGAACAGGGAGATAAACGTCGTGGCATCTTTGCCGGTCGCCTATCTTGCGGTGATGGTGGAGAAGAGGCTCGATGATGTGACAGAATAGGTGATGGCTGTCGTTGTGGAGGTGTATAGCCGGGTCGATAAGATGATGGCTCTGGGTGAGGTGATAGCTCTGGGCGAGGTGATGGCTCCCGAAGTGGAGGCTGCTCATCAACCGTTCCATCAAAAAAACGCTTACTAGCTTGCCACCAATCAGTGGCAAGCTCAGCTTCCGTGGGTGTCAGCCTCTGTAGAGGAGTGTTGGCCTCCTAATAATATAAAAGCTCAAACAAAGTTAAACGTGTACTAGTAATAACTTGTTTATAAACATATGGTAGTATTTATGTTAACTTACATTATTTATTGTCGTATACCGTAGTAAATCTTCCCATTGCAAGGTCCGTTTCCTCTTCCAGGAAATAGCCCTGGGAATATCATTTGAAGTTTTTATTGCATATGTCTTCATGGCGGGAAAGGCCTCAAATATCCAAATCTACAAACAATATAATAACAAACATTAGTAATTGTTAAATAATTACTTATAATTTTGGAAACATCATATAAAAATTCTTACCTTAAAGGCCCAAATAAAGCCTATCAAAGTGTATTTGGAACCATCGCCATGCAAACTTTTTCGATCATCCAAGGTAGACGATAACTTATTCCATGTAGCTTTCCATAAATACGAGCCCCACGGAAACAGGTTCCACGCATTTAGGTCTTCTACCAATTTGATTAGATCATTTGGAATAGGTTGTCTGGCCTCTCTGCCTAAAAAGCCGGCATGCAAAAGAATTAGAAGGCATACTCGGACAACGTCGACGTCATCCATCCGAGTAAAACCATCTTTATTATTCAAAAATCTTGTCAGGTCTTCTACGTGTAGACTCGGCCTCTCCAGCTCAGGAAAAACCCGGGATAGCCATGATGGGCGGGTAATGTGTCTAGTGTACCGACCTACATCATCGTGTCCGAAGCGTAGACCGGTGATTAAGCAAAACTCCTCCCGCCCAAAACACGTATACGCCGGTGGAAAATCAAACCATATCTCTTCATCACGACGTTGTATAGTCTCTGGTAGATCGCTAGTCATGGTTTAAAGAAACAGGTGTGTCAACATCGCATCTCCACCGGGATGTTGTACTTTCAGCCATGGCCCGAAGCATGTATCCTCAAACATTTTTCTTTGTGCAGGTGAAAGCTTCGACGCAATTGTTTTGGCCAGGCTGACTTTATTTCTCAAGGTCAATTGAGTCGAATAAAAGTTCTACAAAAACAATAAACATACTAAATTAGATATACCAAAAACTACACTGTGAAGATATACCAAAAAAAATAATAAACATAAATAGTAGTAGTTTATTCTTCAAACTTAAATATGCAACACTGTGAATTTCGTATTTGTCTTTGTTTTTTGGTTAAAGTAATGCAATTCATTCAAGTTTCAATTTGCAGAAGAAGAATAGTTTCTGAAAATGAAAATCGCAACACGAAAATGAAAATCGCAACGCGAATTCGACTATCGCAACGAGAGAATCACAACGCGAAACTAAAATCGCGTTGCGATTTGCATTTCGCGTTGCGATTCTCGGTTGATTTAATAAGCAATCTAAGTGAAATGATTAATCTATTATTGAAATTACTAGTAAACTTATCATCAATTTCAATATGAAAAACCTAATAATAATGCAAAAATTTCAAAAAGAAAATAATTAAAAAAACTAACCCTCGTTGGTTGATTTGGTTGATTTTCCATTTCTGATTGTGAGGGTGGCTCTGAGAGATGGAGATAGATGGATTTCGCCGGAGATGGGGACGGATTTCGTCGGAGATGGGTGAGAGAGTGAGAGATGGAGATAGGACTGAGTTGTGATTTTAGGTTTTAGGTTATGAGTTGCGATTACGGGATATACTGTGGACAGTTCAGTGTTCTAATATATTAATATTCGTGTTTGGAATTTAAAAATAAAATACTTGGCCAGGATACTAATGGCGCTTTGAAAATCGCATTGCTATTATGTATTATCGCGTTGCGAAAGTCAGTATCGCGTTGCGATAGTCAGTATCGCATTGCGATTTTCCCAATTCGCGTTGCGATTTACTTATTCGCATTGCGATTTTCCCAATTCGCGTTGCGATTTACTTATTCGCATTGCGAATTGGGAAAATCGCAACGATACTGTAGACCATCGCAACGCGATTTTCAACTATCGCATTGCGAAAATGCAACGCGAATTTACGATAATGGAGATCGCGTTGCGAATTAGCGATCACATTGCGATTTTGTTGGTCATTTTGACAAATCCGGAAAAAATTAGTTAAAATAGTATATTATATGTGATTTTTGGTCACCGAAATTATTTTCTCATTTATTTAACGTAAAATGATGAAAATCAAAATGTCAATAAATTAATATAAAATAAATCAACCAACGACACACGTGTTTCTTGGCGCGTTAACGCATTTCCCTCACACCGACAGTGTAAGGCTACGTTTTACTTCTTTTGCTTTTAAGCCATAGCTTCGATCTCACTCACTCTCCTTCGCTCCCTCAAATTTGCCGATCTATTTTATCTCCGGTCAGGGCCGAAGACTAGTACGCCAAATTCTTCGCCATGGATTTCGCTTTCCGGATACCATTTAAATCCAAAGGTATTTTAATATTCCTTATATTATCAACTCTATTAACATCGATCGATGCTTCCATCCACATCTACCAGAAACAAGTCTTCAATGAAGTCGGCAATGCTTACCTTCTCCCCGGTGGTAGCGAAGGCCTCGAAGTTTCTCTTTCCTCCGAAAAATCCTCCACCGACGGCCTCTCTTTTATTCGGTAAAATCACCGAAATATTTCATCTACTTAAGAATGTGATTCTTTTTTCTTTTCTTTTTGAATTTAAAATGTGGCGTTGTTTTATGGATTTTGGATTAGATCTGCGTTAGAAAGTCAAGTCATTGACGCTTGTCGCGTTTGCAGATTTAGTATCAAAGCCATGCTAGTCTAGAGAGCTTAGAGGATCAATGGAAGAAGCATTATTGTTCATTTTTTTCTCTCTTTGGAAATTACGAAATGGACTTTCTAAATTGTACATTTGTTAATCGTACATTGAAGTTGAAATGATTATATGAGCAGATCTAAATTTGCAATTCGGAAATTGTGTAGCTGTAGATGTAAAATAACTATGTCCATCCATTAGTAAAACTTGAATTTTAGTTGCTGAATTAATGGTTCAAGTTTCAAAATCCATTGCCATAATTGTAATTTTAATATAGGTTTGAAAATATCACTTTTTGGAGGACCCAAGATGCTGCAGATGAACACTCTGAGATGGAACGTATTACCGGGTTGATACAAGCGGTGATCTTCGAGGTTCCTGATAGAAACAATATTGGCGGTTCAGCTTATGGTGGGCAGAGGTCAATATGTTGCACCCCTGATCTTGCTAAGCTGGAAGGTTGCAAGCAAGGCGAAGTAATTAGGATACCTTCTACAACCGAGATTAATTGGCCTATTGTTTTAAATATTCAGTTCAGTGGGAACAATTTATTGACACATATGGACAACACAAAGGTTCCCATCCAGAAAACCGGGATGTATAATTTGTTTTTTATTGCATGTGATCCGAAACTCAAGGGAACAGTTATGAATGGTAAGACAGTATGGAAGAATCCTGATGGTTATTTACCCGGGAGAATGGCTCCATTGATGAAGTTCTATGTGTACATGGCACTTGCTTATTTGTTGCTTGGTGCCATTTGGTTCTGGCAATACGTGAGGTTTTGGGAAGATATCCTACAACTTCAGCACTGCATCGCTGCTGTAATTGGTCTGGGGTTGTTTGAAATGATGTTTTGGTATCTTGATTATTCAAATTTCAATAAAACAGGAATGAGACCCGTTGTGATTACAGCTTGGGTTGTAACATTTGGAGCTATAAAGAAAACACTATCTCGACTTCTTATACTTTCAGTTTCTATGGGCTATGGTGTTGTACTCCCGACTTTAGGTGGTCTTACCTCAAAGGTGCTTCTTATTGGAGCTACTTACTTTTTGGCATCTGAGTTACTGGACATTACCGAGCATGTAGGGACCGTCAATGATATATCGGGAAGAGCAAGGCTCTTCCTAGCCCTGCCTGATGCGTTCCTGGATGCATTTTTGATATTATGGATTTTTACATCTCTTTCAAAAACACTAGAGCAGTTACATGTATTTCGTAATTTTCTTTGTTTCTGATTGAATGATTTGAGATGTTAAGTTTTTCCTTTGGGATAATTGTGGTTATTCTTTTCAATTTCATTTTTTTCATCCAGGCAAAGAGAATATTAGTAAAGTTAGACCTCTATAGGAAATTCTCAAACGCACTAGCTGTGGCTGTGATTGCTTCAGTTGCATGGATAACTTACGAGGTATGTTTTGTCGATTTTTATTTCTTTCTTGGTTGGAATTTTAATGCCATAATTCATGGATCAATGACTGACATTTGTAAATTAATATGTGAGAAAGACGGGTTTCTATTGTACTTTAAAAATGGCGGGTTTGACTTGTTCGGTATTACAGATATATTTCAAAGCAACAGATCCATTCAATGAGAGATGGCAGAGTGCTTGGATCATCACAGCTTTCTGGGACATACTTTAATTTGTACTCCTATGTGTTATTTGCTACCTTTGGGCTCCATCTCAAAGCTCCCAACGGTGCGTTTTACTCCTGCAAACGGTTTATCTGTGACAGTTGAATAGCCTTAACCTCTTTTCCTTTCTCTCAATTTTTTTTTTGATAGAAGTTGGAGGTCTCATTAAAAACTCCCTTCGTATTCATTCACATACTAAAGGTATGTTAACGAACATTGGAAGGAAGAAAAGAGTACCTCAAATATTATTGATAAAATACACGATACAAAAGATACCACGGAATATCCTCTCATGGTGATGTACACCATTACAACAAACACCTTAACCTCATATGACCTCATCCAAAGCCACAGTCAAATCACCTTACTTCTAATTACACCACCAGCAGTAGGAATAAAACAGAACATAATACAAATTAAAAGCAACACCTACAACCATATAGACTAAAACAACCACAATTGAAGAGACAAGATCTAATGAGACTCTTTTTCTTCAGGAGCCCAAGAGTTTGGTTTGAATGAAGGTTCTATCTCATGCACCTCCTTTCTCTCAATTTAAAAAAATGCTTAAATGGAATGTCACCTAAGGGAATGAACTTTGTGGCCCTCAGTAACCTTTTGAAGTTAGAATCAGCATTCATAGACAGGCCCTCAATTTTTGCCACTTCTTTTTTCTGAAACATACTCAACAGTAGTAATTGTCCTCAGATATGCTTACTCGGAAGATGTGGGGGAGGAACTCAATGATGAAGAAGCTCAATCACTAACCAGGGGGCAGTCAAACGGGGAAGTGAGTTTAGTCAAGCAGGAGCAAAAGAATGGAAATGCCAGCATCTCGGAAGAGGAAGATGACTCAGAAGAGGGGAAGAGGGAGTAAAATCTGTCAATCCACCATGATCAGAGCCCACGCAAAGATAAGCACACTATCCTCGGAGCAATTGATTATTCGAATTAACTTGCAAAGGGCACAAATGTGTTACCTAATATGTTGACCTTTGTTTACTTCTACCTTCTGCTATATATAAAGAACTGGCAGGTCTCTTGGTATTTTGTCCACATTTTGTAGCATTCTTTAATTGTACATGAGGAAAAGGCATCTTAGTCGGGCACACATTGTAGCTTAGCTTTAGAGAATAAAACAGGTAAACCGAATTGACATCTCGATGCATGATGAGTTTGGGTGTTGTAACCTTGATGTTTCTCCCTTATTGTAAAAATGTTAGCTGTGTGATCTGAAATTTCGATTACATGATAGAGACATGATCCTATGCATTGGTGCCGGGTATAAAATTAGAAGGATATTCGCATTCTTGCATATCACCATATTTAAGTAGTCCTCTTGTTCCATTTTCCGTTTGACATCAATAGTTTAAAACTTGTACGTTTGCCAACTTGAGTAGTTTCATCAGCATAAGTTGCTTATCACTCCATCATACCTCTAATTGTGGAGAACTTGCATTTGATTTGGGGAAAATTACTATTGAACTCACTGTCCTATACTTCAGAATGCAGTTTGCTCTTCCAAAATAACAAGGCAAAATGGTCCTTTTGCGTATAGTCTTGATAAAGTGTATTAACTACTGTTTTATTCTAATCATTTGCTAGTTTTCCGTCATTACATAAAAAAAATAGAACACCTCACATCATGAATAAGAAACTAAAATATTTAACGGGTTGAATTAGAAATTGATGATTCTTTCGGACATGGAGGGCATTTTATAATTCGGAGGTTTCTCACGGAAACTGTTCTCAACCTGGCGTTGGGGGCAGGCTACTATCCTACCTCCCCTTATCCTATTATATATGAGAATAAGGGACAGTTAAATTTAGATGAAAACGACATTTTCAGCCGTTTATATAACTTTTTATCTAATTATTGATGAACTGATCAAACTAACAATAAATAATTTGATTAATTCTATCGCTTATTCAGATTTTAAGAGTTTCATATAAATTTAGAACGGAATTGAACCATATTATATCTCGGGTAAAGGAATTTAACATCAAAACAATAAAAAATAATTATTTAAGATGACGATTTCAAATTTACTTCGATTTTATTCGTAATTGCATCCCTGAAATAAATCTTAATTTATTAATTTCAGAAAAGAACTTACCAATTAATTAAGATGTAAAAACAATTTTTACAGTTTGGAATACAGAAAAGCAACCACGATGGACGGCGAAGCATAAAGCCGTCCACTTTACTCAACTGTCATAGGCACGTGAACCGTTGGTTACTTCCTTTTTTTCATGACAGTGCGTGAACAGCCAACGAGGCTTGCGCCGTCTACTTTGAGCCCCCAATAAACGGCGCGTCTTTTAACAACTTCTCCAAATTGCACGTAAACCGCAACTACATCTTGCGAAAGTGTGATATTCAAAACATCCAAACGTGTCTCTATCAAGCACAAGCACAAGTACAAGCACAAGCACCTAAACATAATCCCGCACGTCTTTTCTTTGAAAACTTGGCGCGTGGAATACATTACCTGCTAAAGTCGAGTGAAACCGCCATCCATTGACCCGACCCGGATTCTGATTCGGAGTCGTCGAACCATTTCTACGCGACTCTTATCCGTTCTCTGGAAAATATAGTTTGTCACTCCCCATCTTTCAATCCATCGATTTCGTCGCTAAAAACAAAACCGTAAATTCCCCTCGCTCTCGTTTTCTATCCCTAATTTTATTTCCAACTTTTCAATATCATTTCCCCCGGTAAGTCCGTTGCTTTATCTTTGCTTTTCCCGTCGATTTTTCGAGCTTTTAATTAACCTCATCAGAGAAGAAAAGAATATAAGAAACTTTTTTCAAATTTTTGAGCTTTGAAGTTTTTTCTTATGATTTTTTCCTTTTAAAATAAAAATAAATTTGATCTTAAACACTTCCAATATCCTTCTTTTTTGTCTTTTATTTGTTGAATTAAATATAGAATTCGATAATTGTAGATCTTAGATGGTTCAAGTCTGAAAGTCCCATATGGGTAGAATTGTAGTTTCATGTTAACCTCTGATTATTTAATCAGATAATTAATTGCATTATCGCGTGAATATATCGATAAAAGCATGTTGTTTGGATTCTTTTAAGTTTATCTATCTGTATAAAGAAATATATTAATTCTGGGTGTTCTTTTATCAGATTAGAATTGGTATCGTCAACTAACTCGTTATCTCGATCTAGATTTCCCCGGTAATTTTCGAAAACAGGTAAGGTTCTTTGAAATTCATCCTTCTAAATTATGAATTGTCCCTTCATACTTGGGTCGCCCATTGATTGGGTTGTTCTTTTTGCGATGTTCAATGAAGGATAATCTTCATCTAATTCACGTGGATGTTGAAACACGGATGTCAATTGATCAAGGGGTTTCTTTTCTGGTGATGATTTGATTGACTTGTTTATTTTTTTAACGATAGATTTAATTCACTTGTATAATGAGAACATGGATGTGAATTTTTATCAAGTGCATACTGGATTGTCATTTTGTCTATGGTTCAGGGATCTCTAATTTTGGTATTATTAGATTTAAAAAAAAATAACTTCAATATCAAGTCATTGGTGGATTGTTCTCTGGCAATTTTCAAGCATAATGACCACAGGGAGGACTTGTTTCCTGATGGCTAGAAAATATATTGTGGCTTGGAAATGAAGATTTACATACACCCCTCTTAGCCTCCTTGTTTTGGTTCCTTAAATGTTAGAAATGTGTCTCGTTTATAATCATCTCATTATTAGAAAAGGGCATATCAGTGTAATAAAGAAGATGATGAGGGTATAACGTAGCTAAATTTTTTGATAAGATTTGGTCACAGTCAGTTCGTGAGAACGGGGAGGTTTTGTTTCTTGATGATGGTGTGAGTATAACTTTTGGCTTGGAAATGAGGATTTACAGCCCTTCTAGCCTCAATTAGGTTCCTAAATATTAGACATTTGTGTTTCAATTAAAAACATTTCATAACTAGAAAAGGGCATATAAGTGTAATAGAGAGGACATAGTTACATAAATCGCTAGAGTTCCCACGATCTACGTACTATACGCTCTGATCCAAAACGCAGTATGAACGCGTTCCGGGTCGTTCCAAAATCGCGATTCGGTACGAAAGCTTCTACGATCCAAAGTTGACCATCCAATCGACCCAATTGATGTTCAAATCGCGATTTGAAGCCATCGATTCATCGTTCTGGAGAGAAGAAAAACCAGAAAGGATAAATGAAGGATCTCACTGGGCTCCGATTTGGTTGCCGCACTGGCCACCTTAAATGTGAAGGATCTCACGCATCTTCGATTATGGAGAGAAGAGAAACCAGAAAGGAGACATGAAGGGATTTAGAGAGAGAGATAGATGGCAAAATAAGAGATAAATTGAAAATGGAAGTTGGAAGACAAAGAGCCTGGTTTGTTTTTTAGTATAAAAGTAACTTTTATGTTAAAACTATATTTTATTAGATTGAATTTTGTTTTTATTATTATTATTATTATGTCAAACGATCCAAGTCACGTAATTAAGAGTTTGTGCCGGTTGAGTTTTTGTTTTTTATTTCTTTTCCTGCTTTGTTTTATTAGTTTTATCATGTCTTTTAAAGTTTCAAGTTTATTCATGACTTTATGAGTTTATGTAATTTGTTTTGAACTTTGAAGTATTGAAGTTACTGAATGAAATCTATAGTATTGAAGTTACTCTAAGATATTTGAAGTGTTGCAGTTACTTATAAAATTTGTAGAAAAATAGCAACCTAAGAAACTGGTACATCGTACCAATTTATATGGTGCATCGTACCGAAGCGATCCGAAATGAGTCTACCCCCCTCATACCGAATTTTAGGGACCTAGCGAATTGCGATCCCGTTCCATGTTCCCGTACCGGAGCGTACCGCAATCCATGTGACTATGAGCGAGGATAAGAGTATAATGTAGCCAAACTTTTTTGATAGGTTTGGTGGCAATTAGCTTGTGAGCACACGAAGGTTTTTTTTCCAAATGGTGTTGAGAATAGCTTGTGGTTTCGAAATATGGATTTACACCCCTTCTAGCCTTGATTTGGTTCCCCAAGTGTTAAAATTTTGTCTCAATTAAAACATTATTAGAAAAAGGCATATTATTGTAATAAAGAAGCGGATAAGGGTATAATGTAACATTTTCTTTGATAGATTTGCTAATGGTTGGCTTGTAATTGGCATTGTAAGATTCGAATAGGATTTACCACTTATCTTATGTATTGCGGCATGAAGTACTTAGTGTTAACAGCTGAGTATCATTTGTTGTCTGTTTATTATCAGTTTCTGTGATCAATTTAGTAGCCAAAATGTTGCTTGCAAGTAAGGCAGCTTTTTTATTTTAATTAAGGTTGCATGCCAGTTTTGATGTATCTTTAGATAGACTGCTCTATCAAGTTTGGGAATGTGGAGCCTCCTCTTATCCCTGTACCCTCTTTTAGTTTTGATAAAGATTGCCTGGTTTGGGGACAAAAAGAGAGAGAACAATAAAGAAATGTGTCTGTCTGCATTTGTATGTGTAAAAGAGAAACTCTGGGCAACTGTTGCCTCAATTGTATCTCATTGTTCTTGTAAGGGTTATTTCTATACTTTTTTAGATTTCAAGTTAGGACATTGCTGGTTGTATAGTTTGTAAGAGAGATATTACCATGAGCATGCACAATGCGTTTCACAACTCCTTGGATATCCTCAAACAGAATAAAACCCAGTTTTGGAAACTACAAAGGGTTTCTTTCTAAACCGTCTTGGAAACTACAGTTTAGATTTTGTGTTTTATAGGCTTCAAGTTATCATTAGTTTTAGAAAAATTACAAGCATACTGAGTAATTGATATGTTTTTACCATTATATGTTGATTTATATCATTTCTACTGTCATGAGATTTTTTGGTTGGCAATATTGTTTTGAGGTGTAGTTTGCAAATGGCAAAAGGAAGCAAAGGACAGCGTAGAACTACTTTCCGGAAAATCAGGTCAACTCCATACTCATTGCCCTCACATCGACAAGGGATCTCTGGTGATTTATACCACAAGAAATGTTCCAAACCTTTGGATAAGAAAGATTGGGAGGATGTAACATGTTCCGTTTGCATGGAGTGCCCTCATAATGCTGTTCTTCTTCTCTGTTCATCTCATGACAAGGGTTGCCATCCCTACATGTGTGGAACTAGCTTTCGATATTCAAACTGCCTTGACCAGTACAAGAAGTTCTACACTAAAGCAGTCCCTTCTAATCATGATGAATCTTTGCGTAGTTCCATTGACAATCCAATTCTAGCACCAGGGGTCGATAAGTGTGAAGTGACGGGAATTGCATGTCCACTTTGCAGGGGTCAAGTGAAAGGATGGACTGTGGTGGAATCTGCAAGGGAATATTTAAATGCTAAAAAGAGAAGCTGCATGCAGGATGACTGCACCTTTGTTGGGACTTTTAAGGAACTAAGGAAACACATGAAAGCAGATCATCCTTGTGCAAGGCCACGCGAAGTGGATCCTTCTCTTGAACAGAAATGGAGAAGTCTTGAACGGGAGCGTGAGAGAGAGGATGTAATCAGCACGATAAGGTCAGCCATGCCAGGGGCAATGGTTTTCGGGGATTATGTCATAGAAGGAAATCATCGTGGTTTCGAGACAGATGAAGAGGACGATCTTGATGAAGATCCGGCAGAGGGGAATGGAAGTTTTGAAGTAGGCTTAGAAAGTAGTAACTTCGTAAACTTTTTCCTTCTGTTGCATGCGTTTGGGCCATCAGGTAACACTGACCTTGGTAGACAACCAAGGCAACCTACACATGCAGCAGATGAGGATGCTGTTGGTATTCACCGCACCTCTCTTGCTGGGGATCCGGGTTTCTCTGGTCAAGATGACGATGAGGACAATGGTGGTGATATTTCTTTGGTTAGCCGCCTTCGCCAGCATGGAAGACTTTTACGAAGTCCGGGTAGAAGGCGTAGACGAAGAGAAGCCACCAACAGTCAATTATAGATCAAATTTGTACCTATAAAAGGAGGAGAAATGGGAAATGTTACACATCTCATAGTGTTAGGAAGAAAAAGGTAAAAGCACAAAAGAATAGACCTTGAATACGCAGTGATTTACGATCTCATTCATTTTAGGTGACATCTCACAAGGTTGGCTGGGAAAGTAAATGGTGGAACTAGGAGGATGTTTTTCATTTGTTATTGTTGTGGTGTATTCATAATTCATAATTCCTTTTCCTTGTGTTTAGTTGGAAAACATGTAATTTGTTCAGTTAACATTTGCTAATCATCTATCATTTTGTATGTAGACTTGTATTGTCAAAAATAAACCTCAGGCCTTTCCACTGGTTGAGGAATACTGCACAGATTGAGAAGTCTTCAAATGCAAAGTTTACATTTAATTGTATTTTTGGGGTCCAATGAAATGTGCCCTTTAATGATTCAGACATTCCATCTGTTGGTTTTTGCCTTTCTTTCCTTTGGATATTTGTGCAAGTTATATTTTCGAGTAATAAAGTGATAATGATATACAATTTACCGTTTTAGTGCTGTATTTGAATCTTTTAATCGTGTGATTAAACAAAGCACGAAACGGTAAAGAAGAAAAATACTACGCTCCTAATGAACATCATTAATTGGACTAAAAGATAAAGCAAGATCCACGACCGTCTTATAAATTTGGTTTAATACCAAAATAAGTGCCTAAATTGTACCCAAAATCTCGAATAGGTGATTAATCTATTTTTTGATTCATCCAGGTGCCTAATGCTACAAACGTTACTTATTTAGGTGCCGCGATCGCAACAGTCGTTATAAAATCCTGTTAAGTGACACATGTCACAATCTTAGAATTTTAAAATTTTAATTTTTTTTAAAATAAAAATATTATTTAAAAAAAACAAACGGCCAAAGGCCTTTTTCTCTTGTGTTCCCCCCTTTTTCCCTCCCCTTCTCTCTCCTTCCATGGCCAAAGGCCAAACGGCCGATCAAACGACCAACCAAATAGCTGACTGTCAAGGTCGGTGAAACGGTCGATTATCATGTTCGAATTTGAAGGTTTGAGTGTTTGAGATTTTAGGGATTATAAATTTAAATTAAGGGATTTGAGAATTTTGGGTTTTGAGATGATAGTAAGAGCTGTGACCGGTCACTGGGTGGTCGACGGCGTATGAGTAACTTATTTTGATATTAAACCTGTAAATTTTAATTATTTAAAATAATCATGATTAAAATTTAAGGAGTATGGTGATAAAAAAAATTAACCAGCTAAAATTTTAATAGGGTGAAAAGGTATTTTTTAATTACAAATTCTCAATTTTCTCAGAAGCCAAAAGAAATATTTATTAATATAATAATAATTATTGCATCAAAATTACCCTCTAATTGTCTTATTTTTATTTAAGTTATTATTAAGGGGATATTGCTCAAATATTTAAAAGCTATTGCAACAATAATTTTCGTATCGTTAAGTTAGTTGTAGAAATACAATTATTCATTTAAAAAATAAAATGCATTTAATAGCGTTGAGAATGGCCTCATAATTAATTGTAACTCTAAAGAAGTTGGGAAAAACGCTGTTTAATTATATTAGAGATTCGTTCCAAAGGCTACCTTTGAAATGACCATCCAGTTCAGTTGGTAGACACAAGGTTCTTAACCTTGAGGTCGTGGGATCGAGTCCCATGGAAGGTATTTCATAATTTGGAGGTCTCCTATGGAAGCTGCTCTCAACCTAGTATTGTGGGCAGCCTACTATCTTACCTCCCCCTTACCCCATTACATATGGGAACAAGGGACAACCATTTATTTTTGTTTCAAAGCTACCTTTCCACGGTCGAAAAAGGATGACTTTCCTTTTCCTCCTAAAACAATAGTAGATATCTCAATATTAGGAAATTATACGAACTCCAACTATATTCAAACTGAATTTTAAATAAAAATTTATTTTATTAGACGTGTTTTTTCATCCACGAGATCTGATAAATTTAAATAATAACAAAATTATATTTTAACTCGATAATTTTCTAGTTTAAATAAAATAATATTCTAGCCATCTTCCGGCTCACTCAATAAAATCAATTTTTTTATTAGTATGAAGTGATTACAATTTTATTATCCACAACACATACTCTATTACTGTAATTATTGAAACTCAAAATTTCAAATCCAATTCTAATTCCGTTATTACTGGTTTGGAAGACAAACTAACCGCTTGTAAGAAAATCAGACTATGTAGGGGTAGGTCCGTCTTTTCCTCTTTAGAAAATGGTCCAAATTAAATAATAAAACATAGGGGTGGGGGACGGTGGGGATGCCCCAAGTCAGTGACAATACTTTATTAATTATATATAATCTCTTAATTAACTAGGAGGTTAATTAAGGATTGAATTAAAGTCAAAGGTTAGATGCATCCTATTATATTATCTAATATCGTAATAATACGCATCTTTCCGACGAGGAAATTGACTTTGATGTCTTTAATGCAGCACAGCCTTTACATAATACATAAATTAATGTAATCAGATCACACACACACACGCAAAATGGAGATTGATCTGTCCTTGAAAATAGAGAAGGAAGAAGCAAAGGATTCCAAGATGCAAGAGCTTGATGATAATCAAAATGGGAAAGAAGCTTTGGATTTTGCAGATAAAGAAGATGCATCAATGGCTGCCATAGGTGAAGTTGAAGACGGTGCACCGTCGGATATCTCCTTGCAAGATAACCGGAACACCCAAGAGGTACGTACTTCTCTTTATCGTCTTCTTAATTATATTTCGAGTCGAGTCAGTTCATATCCGGTTTCGGAAATCTCTGTCACTAAACTCAATCAAGGTTGGTCTCTTTTCCCACAATTTGTTTACATTTACGTACACATACATATGTATGTACCAGTTTTCTGTGCTACGAAAGGAGATGAATCGCGTGAAAGAAGAAAATAAAGTGTTGAGGGAAGTGGTTGAGAAAACTATGCAGGATTACTATGATCTTCAGATGAAATTTGCCGTGGTTCAGCAAAACAATCACCAGGAGGTATTGATTATGAATATATATTTCATTTGATTTTCTTTATTGATTTATCATCAATTCAAATGATAGAGTTTATGAATCGAATTTTGTTTTGATCCATATTTAGTCGCAAAAATTTGTGATCTGTAATTTGATATATTAAGGACCCTCGGATCTTTCTCTCACTCCATGGAGATGAACACCAGACAATTCAAGGGAACTCGAGTATTGTCAAAAATCTGCAGAAACATGGGTCGTTTCCATTAGGAGATGAAGAGGATGAAGAAGAACTAGGGTTGTCTTTAAGGCTAAAAACCGGTTCTGGTCAACGAGAAAGCGAGGAAGAAGAGAACCATGAAACCCCAAATCTTGCTTCAGTGCAAAACAAGCTTCATCCAAGCCAGTTGTCTGCGATCACAGCAAGCCATGCTGTTTCTTCACCAAATAGGAAAGCTAGGGTTTCCATTAGAGCAAGATGTCAAACTGCCACGGTAAGTCAATGAATATATTAATACGCAGTTCATAGCTATGTTTACTACGACATACATTTGAGGGTACTCGAATATGGAAGTGTCTGATACGAGTATGATAAAAAAAATTATATATATTTTTCGCATATTTCGAATACGAGTAACGGATACGAGTGTTTCTAAGGTTGCATATTATGCAGATGAATGACGGGTGTCAATGGAGGAAATATGGTCAGAAAATCGCTAAAGCAAACCCTTGCCCTCGAGCATACTATCGATGCACAGTAGCTCCAGGTTGCCCAGTCAGGAAACAAGTACTACTACATCTTTCAATACATCCATACATACATATATATATTGCAGCTTTCTTATGCTAAGATTATTGTTGATTTAGGTGCAGCGATGCCAAGAAGACATGTCGATTCTGATTACAACATACGAAGGAAGCCACAATCATCCACTCCCAGTCGGTGCAACCGCCATGGCCGCAACAGCTTCAGCAGAAAGTTCCTTTACTTTACTCGATTCGAGCAATCCGGATGGCATCCCGAGCTTCAGTCGGGCATCCCTCCTTCACCAAAACCCTCATTTTATTAACTATCACATGCCGTTGCCGTTGCCGTTGCCAACGGCTTTTCCTTGGATGCCAAGCAAGCTTTCAGCATCCAACAATGGTGGAAATGTTACTGCGATTACTTCGGATCCTAAATTTAGGGTTGCTGTTGCAGCTGCCATTCCGTCTCTGATAAACAAGGAAACCCATGCAGCAACTCAGCCTATTCCTATCGCCTCTTCATCTTCTTCAATGTCTGGTGGTAGGGAGATAGAGAGTGGGAGCCCTAAAACCAACAATTGGGTACTTCAATCTTACACTGCATCTCATAAACACATTCAGCCTTCTCCTTAGATGTCACTCAAAGATTGTCATTTGGGCTATACTTTGTTTATAGCTTTGATATAAGGTTTATGTACTTCTACATACTATATACATTTGTTAACTGAAATGAAAAAGAAAGCTTTATTATTGACGAATTATATATAGTAGGGAATTCTCGTATATATTTTTATAATTGCTAAAAATAACCTCAAAAATAATAATAGTAAAAAAAATAAGAATACACAAGCCTGTATAAGAAAATAGAAAAAAGAATTTTATTATAATTGACTATAAATTACTAGTGGTCCGATATTATATGAGAATACATGAAATTATAAAAAATTTCAAAACAAAATAAATAAAATTAACATTATAATGCTAAGAATAATATCATATTAATAAGCTATCAGAGTATGTTTAATATATAGATGATTTTGGTTCAATTTGTGTATAGATTATATGAAAAAGAAGTGTTGGGCATGAAACTAATTATTAATTTGTCAACTGCCAGACCTAATTATTAGTGAAATTTCTATTCGTATATAGAGGGTGGTACATATGCTACACATAATTCAATTATTTTGTGTAGAGTCGGTTTCTCCTCCAAATAGTCACTCTCTTTTGCCCTCAATTTTTTGTATGCATATAGCTTAATTGTTAATACATGAATTTCAAAACTAAAAATTAAGGAGGTAAAATCTAATTTTCTAAAATTTCAAATTAATGGAGACCATGCAATTATTTAAATAGAAAAAAAAATGGTGGGTTGGGGGTGTAATTTGCCTAGTTCCAAAATTAGGAGAATCTAAGAAACATTTTGACCCAAAATTACAATAATTAAGAGGACTTAAAAATAATTAAATTTTAAAAAAAAATTGCGAGGAGACGGTATTTAATTTATCTAACTTTAAAATTATGAAGGATTAAAATATGATTGAACTTAAAATATTTGGGGGGCATAGTCCCTCCATTTTAATGGTTATGAAAATATTTTAATTTGATGACTTTCAACTCGATCCTATTTAATTTTTTAAAATTTTGATTCGGGAGATTTATAGAAAGATGTAATCATGTTTGAGATAGTCGAGGTTGAGACAAAGTCATGTTTAAGATAACACTTTCCTTAATCGAATAATTATTATAATATCCTTATATATTGAGGAATAATTGATATAAAACTCATTTATATAATCATGTTGGGTTAAAACGGAATGGATTTTATTTTAAAATTTAAGATGGATAGAATATGTAACCTATCAAGTGGTCTCAGTGGTTAAAGAGAGTGTTGTTCTCTCTTGAGATATTGGGTTCGAGCAGCTGCGTTTGCAGGGTGTGTACGTTATCAATGATTAAGAAAAATCCTAAACATATACTACCCTTATAATTACTCCAAGATTATTAAAAAAAGATGGATAGAACATATCAAATATCAAACAAGTTAGAATCAAATATCAAATAGAACATATCAGAATCTTTTTTAGTTATTAACAATATACGTACATCCATAAACACAACTACTTGAACATAGAATAAAACTTCTTTTGACCTCTAATGATGGTTGATGAATCCACATTCTTGCCATATTTGCTTTAATTTAAGTGTTAGTTGATGAATGATAAATTTTCAGGTACATGATTTTGTTTCCATTGAAACAATTTAAATTTTTGGGTATACCAGATACCACTTAACTTTAAGCGTTGTATCATTTATATCACTGAACTTTTAATTATGTCAATTATAACACTGAGCTTTGATTTTCGTTTCAATTATATCACTGGACTATTAAATCGTTAACAACCAGATCAAAACAACGTTGTTTTTTTATGAGGTGTCTACATCGACAACTGTTAGCCATGTCGGCAACTATCAGCCACATCATCACGTCGTTAACAATTTAACGATTCAATGGTATACTTAAAACGAAAAATCAAAGTTCAGTGCTATAATTGACAAAATTAAAAGTTCAGTGTAAATGATACATCTAAAGTTTAGTAGTATATGCGATTCAGTGGTATACTTAAAACGAAAATCAAAGTTCAATACTATAATTGACAAAATTTAAAGTTTAGTGGTAAACGATACATCTAAAGTTTAGTGGTATCTGATATGGTTTACCCTAAAATGCATAAATATTACTTGTGTTATAGTAATAGAATAGTCTAATTATTGCCATAGATAATTGGTTCTTAGATAGGACAACCCTTAACTAAATTAGGCCAAACAAAGTCCTTTTTCTTTAATATAATTAAGCTGTAAACACGTACGAGACTTATCGTGGTCGATTAAACTTTCTAAACCATTACTAAACGGTGCCTTGCACGTTAAAATAACACGATTTTTCAGTAATTTGAAAGGACCGCTTTGTAGCATTTGAAAGGTTGCCGATCAAAATGATCATTTTTGCATAGTTCAATGAATCAACATTTTATTACGGAATCAGACTTATTTTTGCTTTAAAACGTGTAGTTTTCCACTCGTTCCCGGTAAAAAGATTACATCCAGAACTTTTACAGAAAGAGTGAGCACCATTATCAAGTCATTTGGGTTGAGTTCGACCGCATGATGCCTGACTTGGGCTCAAAGCTTTACAAAATCTTAAAACTCAACAATGAAACAAAAACTAAACTTTATGTATGATTTTGAAAAAATTACAAATTTATAAACTAAAACAGATCAAAATTAATAGTTTAAATACTAAACGTATAATTTACGCAATTGTCAATGCAGGAATTTGCTTCAAGTTAACACTACAAGCACTTTGAGGGACATGCATGGCAAAAAAATCAAACACTTTGAAAAGAGCAAGTTATGTTAATCTTGAATTGAATTTGATTAATCTAAATTTATTACGTAATATCATCTTTTATTTTGTTTTTAAACATTCAAGGGTATAATTTTGTATTCCATGAGCTGGTGCATGATGAGAATTTTTAACCATACATTATATCAATTATTTTAATTCTATCATCTTAAAGTTTGATTAGGATGGTTTAGTGCGCTCCACAAGTCCAAAAGCAGCCACAAAATACAGCCCATTCTAGATTTTTGAGAACCAATCAATGATTTGTAATTATTTAATTGCCAACAAGAAAAATGCTTACATCTTTTTTTATATTTTTTTATTAATTTAAGAATGTTATAAGATAAATATATGTTCAAAAATAATTTTAATCATTTGATATTGTACGATTATACCTATAACATACATAATACTCACAAAATCGATAATAATTTTTTTATCATCAAATTCAAAAGTTTGGGGACTAATTTAAAATGAGGATCATAGTTTGGGAATGAAACTGAAATAATCAAAAGTATAATGACTAATTTAGAATGAAAAACATAATTTAGAGATGGATTGAAATATATAAAAGTTTAAGGAGCAATTGATATATAATACAATTAACTCCAATATTGAAAGTGATTTCTTTTATCAATATATCATAGACTCGATTGATAAATTTTTTTAATAGTCTACGATGATTATAAAGTAGTGTCTATTTAGCATTTTTGTTAATTGTTAACAAAGCGCACATTCACAAATGCGGTTGCTTGAACCTAAAACTTTTAAGTAGAATAACATTTTTTTAATTATTAAAACCACTCAATTAATAGTTTTAAATATGATATTACTAATTGAGTTTTAATTTTCAAAATTAAATAATATCACGTATTTAAATTGTAAAAATTAATTAATAATATTACCAATTAAAATTTATTTTATAAATATAAAGAATAGAATGAATAAATTCTTAAAATAGAAGGTAGAATGTCCCACACTCACAGTCACACTCAGGAAAAAAAAACGGGGAGTGACTTTTAAAATTCTAAAAAGTACAGGAATTGACGGCAAATTAAGCCCTTATTTGTTTATCTCTCGTTTTATTAATTTACCTGGTCTCACTCACACTCTCGGCAAGCGAAGTCAGTGAAGAAAAGAGAAAAAAGCCACCGGATTTTCTTAGTCCCCCCTCGGCCCTCTCCCTCAATCTCATTCAAAAGCAATAAATCACTGTAGCTCAAAAAAGAAAAAAGAAAAAAACACCATAGAGATTTCGGGAGAGATACTCAGTGAGCGAGAGAGGGAGGTTTTTTTCCTTTGGAAAGCAGCAAAAAATGCCACCTACGAATCATCTAAACCATGCCCCAGAAACGAGTTCATCCTCTGCCAACGACGACCACCACAGCGGCGGCCACTCCCACAGCGCCCCACCTATCCAACGCCATCACCCTTATTACCCTCACTCTTGCTCTTCCTCTTCCTCTTCCTCTTCCTCCGCCTCTTTCAAAGGCTGTTGTTGCTGCCTCTTCCTTCTCTGTTCCTCCTTAGCCCTTCTAATACTTGCCGTCGTTCTCATCATCTTCCTCGCCGTTAATCCCAAGAAGCCCCAGTTCGATCTCCAACAAGTAGGGGTTCAATACATGGCATTTCCACATCCAATCTTTCCTCCTCTGACGGAACCGCCGCCGCTGTCACGACCGCCTCTTTGTCTCTGACCATCCGCATGCTTTTCACGGCGGTGAATCCCATTAAAGTAGGGATCAAGTACGGGGAGTCGAGGTTCACCGTTATGTACCGCGGGATTCCTTTGGGGAAAGCTTCGGTTCCCGGGTTTTACCAAGAAGCTCACAGCACAAGAAACGCGGAGGCAATCATCGCAGTCGATAGAGCTAACTTGATGCAAGCTGACTCAGCTGATTTAATCAGAGACGCCTCGCGTAACGACCGTGTCGAGCTTCGAGTTTTGGGTGATGTTGGCGCCAAGATCCGTGTATTGGACTTCGATTCTCCCGGTGTTCAGGTCACGTCTTTAACTTCCTCTTTTAATTTTATAAACAATTTAAACCCATTTTTAATTGCAGCATTGCCGCCCATTAAGTTTCTATTTATAGGATTAAGCCATTAATGATTTTAAACACTGTTTTGCACATTGAAAGCGCCGTGAGAAGTGGTTGCTTTTTAGCCACGGTCATCCCCACCACCCCACTGGCAGTCGTATTCAACTTTGGATGTTCATTGTCTTAAAGAG